GGAAAGTTGCACCCCTCACTGACAGGGGCCTGGAGGAAAGTTGAGAGGCCCCAGGGGCACGGCAGGGTAAGTGGGCCATCGGAGGGGCACGGCGCAAATAAATCAAACTTTCAGGGGGCGTATCAATTTTTTTCCCCTTTTAAGAAACATCCTCCAGGGGCTTACTATTAATTAATGGCCTATGCACGGGAACTACACATTACCAGAAATGAGACGTAGGGATGAGACAGCATATATTATGCATTTAAAAATAGAAAAAAGAAGGTATATGATAAGGTGCCCGTTCTGGCCATCCACACCCACCCCCATTTTCCCCTCCCCTAAATGGTCGTTCTAGGCGCTTTAACATTACAGCAGCTTTCACGGTATCTGACAGGGATTGAACACGTGATCCTTCTACTAAAACCCAGCCTGAGGTGCATACCACCTTGCTCATTCAGTGGGAAGGACATCTTCTTATCAAAGAGAAAAAACAGAAAAGGGAATGCGTATGCTCGCAGGCTTGTTTGGCCAAAAGGAATCCATCCACCCTATTCCAAAAAAAAGGGAAAAGTGTTCAAAAAAGCTCTTCAAGTTCAAAAAAGTTCTTCAAGTTCAAAAAAGTTCAAAAAAGTAAAGAAAAAGGACTCCATCCTTCTTTTCTACTTAATGTCACTAACAGTGCGTTGACTGAAATCTCAAAAGAGTTACAGGGTGTCTTTTTTTTTTTTTTTTTTTTTTTTTTTTTTTTAAGGTTGGTTGTAGAGGCTGGCTACTAGGCATATGACAGGCCTGGCAGCATCTGACCATATGATCATCCCGTGTATCTTTTTTTTTTTTTTTTTTTTTTTTAAGGTTGTTGTAGAGGCTGGCTACTAGGCATATGACAGGCCTGGCAGCACCTGACCATATGATCATCCTGATGTATCTTTGGGAGCAGCTGCAGGGAAGGGAAGGGGAGGGGAGAGGAAGTCCCACTGGCCTCTTCACCCGAATACAACATACGATCATTATAGCTGTATTTGGAGTATTTTTCAGTCTAAATACAGAAATGATGACCATACATTGTATTTGCGTGAAGAAGGTAGCCAGGGGGATTGGGTTAGCAACTTAGCATGATAGTCTGTGGCTGACACCACCTAAGAGACCGGTCGCATCCATCATGGAAATTAGAGGGGGAGGGAGGGGGGGGGGAGGGGAAGGAAAAGAGTCTTCACTTTTGGCAAGAACTATATACCACCCCCCGCCGTGCCCGCTGTAGGAACTATATACCACCCCCCGCTCTTGCAGTCGTCAATTACTATTGCAATTGCAGGCAATTCCTATCGCAGTTGCAGTCAGCTGTTTTCGGGCTCGGCCAATATCAGCTATCAGCTTCATTTCGCTTCGCCTTTGGGGTCCGTGAAGGACCTTAGATTTTATCATAACAATTGATAGCCCCAGTTGCACACTCTTTCCCAAAAAGTGTGCAGGGAAGGAATCTTGGGTGAATCTAGCCCGACTCTTTCCCAGAAAGTGTGCACACTGCACACTTTTTTTCTTTTGGAAAGAATCTTTGGATGAACAGGATCAAGCCCCCCTTTTTTTTATATTATTATTATTATTATTATTATTATTATTATTATTTCCGGAAAGGATCTTTGGGTGAATAGGATCAAGCACCCGTTGCACAGACCCTTTACGAAATGTTACTGGTTCACCTAGCTTTTTGCCCCCTCTCCCCCCCCCCCCCCCCACCCAACAACAAACCAGCCTCTGGGCTTTTAGCCTGCCTCTGGGCTTTTTCTCGCACTTCATGACACGACAAGCACAAGTTTAACCATCATATGGGGGAAAAAGAAGTGTGCACAGTGTCCTTCGGGACATCCGTTAAAATTTAAAATTGGAACGATACACAGACTGAAGATTAGCATGGCCCCTGCGCAAAGGATGACATCATGCAACGCATAAATCGGGCAAACAGTCCATTTTTTTTCTTCATAAAATGAACATAAAAAAAGGTGCACGAAAGGTACACCCGTGAACTGTTGAAATACAGACCCAAGGTCGAATCCTGATGGACCTAGACGAATGAAATGAATAATAATTCAATAATTCTGATGGTCATAAGCAAGAAATTAAAGAAACCTTTTTTTTTTTCTTCACAAAAAGAGAGAGACTCAGTGTGTGTTTTGAATTTTCACCACAACCCCCCCCCATTTCCACCCAGAGTTTAGATCCAAAATCGAAGCAGCTATAGTAGTCCTATTGCAGACAAAAAAAACACACTCGAGTTGAGACAATCCAGCAATGAAACAGTTTTTTAACCTTTATTTAAGGCACGCAAGACGGCGCAAAATAGAAAATAGAAATGTTCCACTCCTTTTCTTAACTGAGCTCACCTTCAAGTTGGCCTTTTTTAGGGGTTCCCATTTCATTTGTACTTGCAACTGTATGTGCATACTTTGGCACTGTGACCAAGGTGGATCCACCGTTCATGAATTTCCAGAGAGAGAGAGAGAGAGAGAGAGAGAGAGAGAGAGAGAGAGAGAGAGAGAGAGAGAGAGAGTTCAGCATTCCTGTCGGCCATTTCCCGATTGCCCATATGGGATGGGCCTGTGTTCTAACTTGTCGACTCTTTCGAACAGAGTCTGTGGAGATCAGCAAGAGGAGAGCCATGAGAATGAGTGGATGTCAAATGCAATCGAGAAAAAGATCCATCCTTCCAGACATCCGTTAAAATTGGAACGATACGGAGAAAGCGAAGATTAGCATGGCCCCTGCGCAAGGATGACACGTGTAAATCGAGAAATGTTTCAAATAAAAAAGAAAAAAAAAAAAAAAAAGGAAAAAAAAAGTGAACAAGATCTTAAAAAGTTCACACTTCAAAGGCATGTGACAAAACACAATGAGCCAAAAGAAATGGCAGTGTGATGGTCCTGTTGTTGCCAAAGTCCTCTATCAAAAGATCATTAGGTATATCGAGATTTAGAGAACCCCCATCTGGATACGTTTTTCTCTGCACTTGGACATGTATTTTTCTGCATCTGGAGATTGCTGATAGTAGATAAAAAAATCCCCCCTACAGGCAACCACCCCCTCACATGAGGGTTATGGGTAAATAAATCTCCTTCCCCTCCTTCCCACCCTCCTTGCCCGCCCTTCAGTCCTTTTCGCCCCTCTTCCCCTCCCCTCCGCTCTACGCCTGCAGTACATGCCAATACATGACATTATAGCCATACCGCATAAAAGAAAGTAGGAAAAAACAAAGGCATACCTGCTCACAGAAAACCTTTTATACATGGGGGTACGATAACTCCCACAACCTGCGCCCTCGCCCCTGGCTCGTCTGCCAACGAAACCCCGCCCAACTTCTCATTCCCAAAGCTGCTCAAAATGAACCCCTCGCAAGGGTTTATGAGGAATGATGTGGTATACACACTCAAGGCAAGACGTCACCCATGCGCAACTCATTCATGCAGCAGACGACGCCATCGACGCTCGACACGCAACGATAGTAGCAAAAAAACAACTCAGTTCCAGCAAAAAGCGGATCCCCGACCGGTTCCAATCACCTCCCGGTGATCGTCCTCAGCGGGTTTCTTCCACCTCACGATCCCCCTCATCACTCCTACCTACCACATACCCGCCTCCGTTGGCGTGCCCGACATACCGGGAATGCCATCTGCCCCATCGGTCCTCAAAAAGGACAGTTTCCGTGCTCATCATTGCTTACGTGCGTAATCGGACTCCGCTTGGTGGAAGGAAAAAAAAAACAGGGTAGTAACAGCTCAAGTCCTAATGGTGGTCCAGACCCAAACTGACAAGGCCCACCACGGGTTCCGACGATTATGCGGGCCTCTTGCCCTGCTCACGTCGTTCGCCTGTCCCTGGTACCAAAAAAAAAAAAAAAAAACAAAGCAAACAAAACCGAGCTGGAGTTGAAAACAACAAAGGCGCGAGCGAGACCTACCCCACGCTTTGGAAATCAAGCCATCCTACTTCACCGGCTCTCAAACATCTACCCTGTCCAGTTGGAAATCCAGCCATCCCTCTTCGCAGGCTGCCAACCATCAACCCTGTCCAATTGTCCAGCCTGGTCTCCGCCTATCAACACCCACACTCTCCGCACCTCTAATGTCCTGTAAAAATATTACATAATATCATTACATAGTATCAGCTATTACATAATAATATCATTACATAGTATCAGCTATACTACCATGCTACGGGAGATCATCACTCACACGATTCCTCCATGAATTGACAGAAGTATCCACAGAGTTCTGGGCGGCGTCTTGCGACTCGTCTCTACGCGCAAGAGCAGATCATCGGAGGAAAAACTCTTAATGTGCAAGCAACTCTCGTCTAATGGTGTTTGCTCTTCGAGGAATTTCCCAACAAACCGACGTGTTGCGCTCAATCCGATGCAATCGACTACATTCACAGCACTCTTCTGCGCTTTGCTACCCCAAGACACGTATGACTGCCCGTTCTTAAACTCTAGTTCCTCCGTGGTCCAAATATTTTTTTCGCTTTTTTTTGACAAATGAAAACACTCCCGACTCTCTTCAAAATCTGATCAAATACGTACTCCGCAGCCGAGAAAATCCCATTGTTATATTACTCCTTTTCTGTCATCCGTTCGTTTTGAAGGTCAGGTTAAAAGGGATAGCATTGTTAAAAAAATGCCTCCCAATCTCCTCCACGCCGTGCTCCGTCGGGCTTTTCACTTGCGACAATCGGAGACTTCCATCGTCAATCAATCAATCGAATGCCGAAAACCATCGGCTTTCCGGGACCGACGGGACCGACGGGGCATGACGATACCCCCACAGACAACTCGGGGAGCACTGAAGAAGTGCATCAGCATAAAATTTGTGCCTTATTATGAATACATAATTACAGTAAAAAAATCACTGACCCCTCCTAGATGCCAAAGAAAATTTGAAAAACAAAACCGCCGAGGGAAAAAAAAAAAAAAGGTAAAAAAAAATTAAAAAAACTTAAAAAAGGGGAAAAGGAATAGTTACGTGTCCTCGCTGAGCTGTCATCCTTTATCACGTTGACCGTTGCAGGGCATGGAAAATTCAAAATTCAGATGGATGGAAAATTCAAAAAAATTCAGATGGACTCCTTAAAGCCACCAACCATTGGCCAATAGATCTGTGACAGTTGAATCTGTGGAAATTAGCTCTTGGATGGAAATTTTGGAGATCTGTGAAAATGTAGGGCCCTACATCTCGGGCCGGCTGGAAATTTCGGAGATCTGTGAAAACGCGTAGGGCCCTACATCTCGGGCCGAAGCTTCTTCAAATTCTGGTAAATGGGGTCCTCCACCTGCAAACACACAACGAGTTCTTAGAGAGTTGATATGCAACAGAAGTTAAAGAAGTTTTCTTGGAAAAAAAAAAAAAAAAAAAAAAGTTACAGAAGTTATACATAACAGAATGGACTCCGATGAACACACCTGCGCTGGTCCTGCGGGACTCCAATCAATGAACTTACATGAAATTATTCTGTTGTCATTATTCTTGAAGAAGGCACTCCATAATTGTACATGGAGTACACACACAAAAAAAAAAAGAAGTAAAAAAAAGTGCATGGAGCACTCTCCACTTCCCTCCCTCCTCCATTCCCCCTTCTGCAAATCTTGTTGCTCTCAAGAAAAAACAGGAAAACTGGTGGGAGAGGGAGAAGTTTCAGGTGTAGGGGAGCAATTCAAGCCACTAACCCCCCACCATGGAAGCGCAGGATTGGTAGATGCATGAGCCGTTGAAATACAGACCTCAGTTCAAATCCTGCTGGAGACCTTGATGGATGGAATAAATCATTCTGAATTACCTCGGGCTGGTCCGGTCAACGAAGAATATCCCCAGGGCGTCGCCCTTTGTTTTTTTTTTCCCCTCGTTGAAAGAAAAAAAGGAAGGAAAAAAAAAAAAAAAAGTTGCCAAAGCAGAAAGCGGAGGAGGAGAAGAGAAAGCATGAGAAGTTAGAAACAAGAGGAAGGGAAAGGAGAGGCAGAATGGGCTGTGCAAGAGAGATATAGCCTCGACGAGGAAGACAAAAGGGCTTAAAAAAGGTGTGGGGTTTGACAAGGATCTTCAGGACAGGTTCCTTAAGGGGTTCCATTAACAGGTTCAACTATGGACTTGTGATTGGATTAAGCGCAGTAGGCTAGGTTAGAGTCCGTTAGACGACACGTGAAACTGCAGGGTGTTTCCAGGCCCAGAGAAAAGTGTCTCGGAAGTACTGGTGGTTTTAAAGGGCATGTTTCATGACAGGTTGAATGACAGCTTCAGTGACTGGTTGATTAGCGGTTCGTGAGAGGTTTGTGAGAGGTTTCATAAAGGGTTTCCAAAGGGTTTTTTTGCCAATGGGGTTTAATGATGGTTAGCAAGACATTTGATAAGAGGTTAATATTTGAGGGGGTTGTTGGCAACAGGTTTAGCAAGGGGTCCAACCAACGACAAACGACAGGTTGATGAGAGGCTAGGATATAAGGGACTCGACAAAAGGTTCAATGACGGTTAACTTTAGGACATAAGGGGGTTCAAGAACAGGTTAATGAGGGAGGTAGGATATGAGAGAGGTTCGACAACAGGCAGGCAGGCTGGTGAGGGTTTAGTTCATTAAGATTTCTCTGACAGGTTAAACCACCAGTACCTTTCCCCGCTTGAAAACAAATTCCGCGGCGGGCTACACAGAAGGCAAGCGGGGCTTTGGCCATCGTTGATAAATTTCATCGGTGGGCCGTGCTCCGTTGCGGGCCCCTCCAAAAGTCGCGGCGAGGGGCCCCCGGACGATACATGGGAAAGGTGCTGGTGTTAGGACCTGCCAAACACGGACTAAGACAGCTGATTTATGAGTTTTGCCAATGGACTGTATGCCTTGCTGAGTTTCCCACTTGTTGCTGAGTTTTCTAAGTCCGAATGTGTGCGTGCTTACTAGCATGTTTGTCTGATTGTTTGTCGGTTTGAGCGTGTGTGTGACCCCCAGGGGTACTTGCCCGTGTGGAAGACCCGAAGGGCCGGTACTTACCTGTGGCCGTGGCATTGAGGGTTGCAGTGGGGAAAACACTAAGTGGCGGGGAAGGAGGCCCGGGACACTTGAAGCAGCGGAAAAACACTAAAGTAGCAGGTAGGCCGGTACCACACCAGGTAGAGGTAGATGTGCCGGGTACTCGAGGCCGAGCAGAAGACAAAGTTGGCATTTTTAGAGGCCCAGTAGTTGTAGGCTACGTCTAGGCGGGTACCAGTCCAACCAGTCTGAGTCTAGGGCCTGCACGCCGTGTACGGGCAATATCAGAATCTGCAATGATGTTTCCCTCAGAAAGGGAGGAGGTACCAGTTGCCTGGAGGCCGCGCGGCCTAGAGAGTCACTCGCCGAGAGGCAAGCAGGCCACTATATCTCCAGGCGGAGCGAGGTGCTCCTCCTCATTATCGATGTGCAAGTTTGGCACCACGCTGGTTGGAGTGCTGGCTGGAGCAGCGCTAAGCATCAAGAGCAGTGCTGCTGGGGAGGAGCAAGGACAGGAGGAGGAAGAAGACCAGGCCTAGGAGGGAGGAGCGCCAGAGGTACTTACCTGGCTATGGTGGATGCCATCTTCATCACCTTGGTAGGCGCCAGAGGAGCAAGGACAGGAGGAGGAAGAAGACCAGGCCTCGGAGGGAAGGCCCCCGTTGGGGTAGAGCTACACCAAGAAGCTTCGAGGCAGAGTCAGGCATGGCGGCCTGAGGTAGAGCAGCCATAGCTGCTTTGTGTTGTCCTTTGCACAGCAGGGTGGTGCCCTGGTAGTCCGCCATAGCCTCGGCTGTGAAAGGAGGAAGAAGAAGGGTGGCCGTGGTGATGATGGACCTCATGTGATGCCTGCAGTAGACGAGGGATTCGGACATTGATTCTGGTTCAGCCATTCAACGTTATTATTATTATTATTTCTTGTTTGAATAAGAGGGGAGGAGATAAGGAGGAGGAGAGTGGTTGGCGAAGAAGACGGGAATTCTCATTGGTCTTTGCTGGTTTACATCTTCTTCTTCTTCTTCTTCTTCTTTCCCTCTCTCTCCTCTCTAGTTCATTCATTTCTTTTTGCAATTGGAGGGCATTGTACTTTCTGATGAATGTGTACTTCGAAATTGGCCAGGATCATCACACTGGTGGTTTAAGGAGGGGTTATGATTTAAAGGGCACTCAGTGAGTATGAGAAGGTAGGTCTAGCTCACCCTGCTTGCTTTGCGACGACGGCGTCTGTTGCTTTGGCAACATACACTGTCTTGGCTGTCTTGCATTCCAGAGACAGAGCAGCTTTGTGAGATGAGGTTGAGTGCTGGTCGATTTGGCACAGATGAACTACCAGCAGGATGTGCACGGTTTCTGATAGGGACATCAGTGCGATCCCCTGATGCAGTGCTTCCTGTAGCTTGATTTGCCTGCAGAGGCCAGAAAATGAGCACCAAAGCGCGTGCCCCAATCATCCCCCACCCCCCAAACACCCCATAGCCAAAATATTCTTAAAGGAAGTGACAGTTGAGTATAAAGATGGAACCGTTTTTCCAAAAAATGATAAAAATCAAAATATTGGGCTGTTCATGATCTGAGCCTTTGACATTTTGAGCAGAAACTAGTGCTTAGAAAGCGGTTGATCGCCACCAAATGCATTTGTGTCTGCAGCACCGAACACTTCGGGTTCTGCATTCAAAGGAGAAGAGGAGGTAGTTTTGCAGCGTACCTCACTGGCACCGTACCCAAGCACATATCTGAGAACGTTCCAATTGGGCTTTGAACACACTACAAAAGGATCAGTCGTTTACCTGCTGGGATTCTACAGGTAGTCTAGAAGGTCACACCACACACGCACACACACACACACACACACACACACACACACACACACACAAGGTTGGTGAGAGTAGAGTCCACCAATTTTTCTCGTGCAGGGGTGTATCGCTAACTCTGGGCAACATGGCGAGACCTTATTCATCAGTCAAATGCATCCTGGGCAGACTGCTGGGGTTCAGCCTCCTGTCTGTGAAAGTTCGACGAAACAGTTTAGCACAGTCATGCATTTTTAGTGGCACTGTGTACAGCGAACATGACAACACACACACACACACACAGAGAGAGAGAGAGAGAGAGAGAGAGAGAGAGAGAGAGAGAGAGAGAGAGAG